GCTTTGGCATGCTTTTCTGGAGACAAGGTAGTCATAGGTGCTTTACCTTGATGTTTCTCTTTCTTCATCTGCAGGACAGAAATGAGAAAGGCAAGGTCGAAGCAATGAGACACATCTTCTGTGCCCACCCAGTGTAGAACAACAGCTTCTTCTGCCTCAAAACAGTCAAAATACTGTATGATCTTCTGAAGAGGCCCCATTCTCCATCTTCTCCAGGTCAGAACCCTTTCAAACTGCCTCTGAAGAACAGTGTTGTAATCAGTTTCTGGTGCTCCGTCAGAGATGGGTTGGGGTTCTGATAAATCTGCAGTGAAGACCAAGTCTGGTGCAGAGGAGGGTTGTGCAACAGATTCAGGTTCCCCCTGAGTTTTTGATCTTCGTGCAGGTGTGATAGTCTTCTTCTTCTTTTTCTTCAAGGGTTTCAGACCAGAGTTGTCAGAGTCCTCACTCTGAACAACTTGCTTCCTTCTCCTTTTCAACTTCTGCTTCTTAGCAGGAGAGTTTCTGACAAATGTTGGGGGAGCCAACTCTGATGCGCCCATCTCTGGTGCATCCACTTCTGAGAGAGTGCTTCTATCATTCTTCTTCTTCTTCCTTACATCCCTTGCAACCTGGGACTCCTCAGACTGTTCTGAAGTCACAGAGGGCTTCTTGATGATCTTCTTGGGAGCAGGTTTAGACTTGACAGCCTGTTGTTCCCTTTTCTTTTCCAGCCTTTCTTCTCTCTTTAGTTCAGCAGAGATGGCTATGTTCAGCTTGGGGGATGCAGTCAGAAATAAGGTCTTGGAGTGGTCAACTGGGGAAGGGTCCCTGAGTTGAACTCCATGGGCAGTGAGGATGGCAGACAGAAGGAGGCCATGGCCCATCTTTGTTGAGAAGAGGCCGGTTTTCTGATCCTTCTTCTGTGCTCATACTTCTTCTCTCCTTCCTGGCCTTGCCTTTTGGAGACTATAGGGTACGGACAATTGACTTTGAAGTGTCCTGGTTGTCTGCAGTTGTAGCAGAGAAGCTCTCCACTACTTTCTGATGCTTTGGGTTTCTGGTGCGGCTTTCTGCTTGAGGATGGACTTTTGTTGTCCCTTGGCTTCAAGAATTTCCTGAACTTTCTGGCAAAGGCAGCCATATATTCATCAGTTAAAAGAATAGAGGGGTCAAATTTATTTACCTGAGATGTGCTGGTTGTGAGGGCAGCAGTTGTTCTGTCCTCAACTTCTTCTTTCTCTTCTTCATTCATCTCGAACTCATAAGATTTGAGATCAGAGATGAGCTTCTCTGTGTTGTAGGTTCTGAGATCTTTGCTATCTCTCATGGCAGTGACCTTCATCTTCCAGGGTGAAGGTAAGCCTCTGAGAACCTTCAGATTGATCTCCTTGGGAGTAAGCTCCTTCCCAAGTTCTGATATCTCAGCAGTGAGTGTGAGTAGGCGTTCATACATCTCAGCTATGCACTCTTTGGGTAGAAGTTTGAAGTCTTCAAACCTCTTCATGGCAATGGTCAGTTTGTTGTCTTTTTCCTGCTCATCACCAGCTCCTATCAGGGTGAGTGTATCCCAGATTTCCTTGGCAGAGGTGCATTTCTTGATTCTTGTGAAGTATTTGTCGTCTATGGCTTTGTAGAGGATGTCCTTCGCAATGTTATCAAGGTTGTGTTTCCTCCTTTCTTCATTGGACCACTCATGTCGTAGTTTGGTGATCATCTGAGGTAGACCACCACCAACAATGTATTCAGGATTGATTTTGGTAAACTCTGTGAAAGGACCAGCATCAAGGACTTCCCACATTTCATCATGGAGTGCGCAGAGGTGAGCTTTCATGCGAATCCTCCAGTCATCAAACTTAGTCACTGAGAACATAAGATTCTTTGAAAGAGTGTTATCCATAATAAGAGATTAAAGAGGCTAAAAACAAGTGGATCTCTTGTTCAGCGAGTAACCTAAAAGATTACAAGAACGAGGAGGCTCTGATACCACTTGTTGGTCCCGTTTGTAATGGGAATAGTCTAGAGGGGGGGGGGGTGAATAGACTGTTCAGGAATTTAAACTTTTCTCTAAGTCACAACTGACTTATCAGAGATGGTCAAATTCTGGTGACAGAGAAGGTCAAGTTCTGATGGCAGAACTGGACCTGGCAGCGGATTAGATTCTGTCCGGGTAGCCTCAAACAACACTAAGGCAAATGCCTTTCTGATAACTCTTGAGGAAGATCTGCTGAACACAGAGTCCAACCTTTTGAGTTATGCAGTCAAGTTCTTAAGTGCAGAAATGAAATAAGTAATGTAAGTGACACCGGGTATTTTTATAGTGGTTCAATGAACAACTTGTTCCTCTAGTCCACTGTTCCACTAAGCTTGCAAAAACAACAGTTTACAACGCCTTAGTCCCTAGAACTTAAGAATCTCTCCACGTCTTCTTCAAGCCTAGTTGCCACCCGGGATGCAGTCCTGCTTTCTGATGGCTGGTCTCGTTTCACTGAGTCTCTTGGAAGTATCACCACTTCACTTACTCCAGTTAGTTTGAGACGCCCCTTCTTTTTCAAGAAGTGTTTGAATCAAAATCAGTTTTCTCCAATGTTGCTTCTTTACAAAAGATGTGTAGATGAAGTTTTCGAAGTGTTGAAGAACTGAGAAACTTTGCAACTTGCTAGTTGGATGAGAGATAAGAAGGTATATCTTCCAACTTAAACTTTTCTTGTTGAGGTAAGTGAGTCTTTGATCTCAAGAAAGCTTGGAGGTATTTGGTTCAGAGTAGAATGATCTCAGCAAGTTCGTTGGTAAAAATGTTATAGCAAAGTTATCCTAGTAGTTCTTCAGAGTGTATCTTATATACTGGGTGCAGTCTTCCCGTTGGAGTGTAGAAGACAGCTTCATTAAATGCTTGTACTGTTGACTTGACCGGTTGGACCTTCGACATGCTATTTTGGGGGCGCGAAGATACTCGCATGGTCAATCATCAGCTTTAAATATATCTTCATACGTACAGCATTAATTGAGCATTTAATGCGTGTATAGTAGCATGTTCCCGTCGAAAGGTTCCTAGGTGTTAGGGGATTTCCCGTTAGTTTAACGACCGTTGGTAAGTGCCTTAGAGTTCTGCAAGGTAAGAGCTTGTCTGATGAGGTTTTCTGATCAGAACTCTGATGGCAGCTTCTGATGCCAACTCTGGTATCCAACTATGATGGCTTCTCTGGAGAGCAACTCTGGGAGCAACTCTGGTAGAAGTTCTGATAAGGAAGATCAAGAGGGTTTCTGGCATGTCGAGTATTCTAGTACATACAAAGACAAATTCTAATACAAAATCTCTATAGGAGTACTTTCAAATTCTAATCAACCTAGCATCATCAAAATCTAATTACATTTATTCCTTACAGATAGAAAATTTTCATGCTCAATTATTAGTCTGTTTATTTTCTTATATACCTAAAAGCACTACATATGAGAAAGAAAATTCTCCCGCTCAATTATTAGTCCGCTTATATTATACCTAAAGCATTGCATATGAGAGACAAAAAAGCACTACATGTAAGAGAGAAAGTTCTTCCGCTCAATTGTTAGCCGACTTATCTTATACATAAAAGAACTGTTTATAAGAGATAAAGTTCTCACACTCAATTGTTAGCAAACTTATCTTCTGGTACCTAAAAGCGCTACATGTGAGAAAGAAAATTTTTCCATTTAATTATTAGTCAACTTATCTTACTTAAAAACACTACATATGAGAGAGAAAGTTCTTTCGCTCAATTGTTTACCGCCTTATCTTATACTTATAAGACTACTTATGAGAGAGAAAGATTTCATGCTTAATTGTTAGCAAACTTATCTTCTAATACCCCAAAAGCACTACATATGAGAGAGAATTTACAATGGCAATACAAACATTTATGAAATTTGATATATTTTTTAAAAAATTAGAGAAACAATGAAAACATTAATAAACCTTCATATATTTTTTAAATTTTATATATTGAATACCGATGCCATATGAAAGATTGTTAAAAATAATGAATTTTGATATATTTTTATATAAATCAGATAAATGATGAAAAAGATATAACGCTTTAAAGAAAATGGAGTTTTTTAAAACATTGGGCCCCACAGAGTGATGTAACGTTTTGTATACAATAAGAAGAAGACGGTGCTTTCGTTTTCTATTGTGTGTTCCGTATTTATCCTTAAGATAGCCACGTGGCATTTGTATAATAGAGGAGTAGATTATGGAGAGATTGACACATGAGATTCATTAAGGATATAATTGTCGCTTAATGAGCTATTTCTTTTCTTATATATATAATAAATAGAACAACTACCTTAAAAAGTTGTCTTCGTTCAAAGACATTTTCATAACATATAATCTTGATTCTACTCTATGAGTTATGATTTGCATTTAAATCTAATTTGTCAACAACAACAACAAAAAGCATATCATAATTTTACAGACATTAAATAGTTCTTTATGTTCTTATAGTCATAATCAAATTATGAGTATAAGAACCATATTTTACTCTGACATAGTCATATCATGTACCATTTTTACTTTGACATGCACTCTTAAGATGTAAAAACATCCATATTTACTTTCAAACAACATTCACCCACCGTGCATCGCACGGGGGTTATACTAGTTTGTATAATAGATGAGTAGATTATGGAGAGATTGACACATGAGATTCATTAAGGGTATAATTGTCGTTTGATGAGCTATTTCTTTCTTATATATAATAAATAGAACGACTACTTTATTAATTACTCCCTCTGTCCCCGAAAATATTTCTAACTTTCCCTTTTCGTCCGTACCAAAAAGAATTTTCCTTTCCCTTTTTGGCAAAAAATTTGTGGTTCACTGCAATTCTTACACATTTCTCTCTCCTCTGTACAACTCTCCACCACACAAAATCCACTTTTTTAATCCGTGTGTTATTTGTACTACGGAAGTAAACTATGGGAGGGAGGGATTAGTTGATTTCTATAAATAGTTGATTTCTAGGCAGTATTAGTCTAATACTATTAGATACTCCTGCAGATAGTATGTAACAAGGTACGACCTGTAGAAAAAAGGAAGTTCAAGAAAACGGGAGCTCCTACCTTCCGGTGCACAACGAGATCGACCACCTCCATCTCCATCTCTAACAAATTCAAAACAATGGCGACAAAATATGTGAAGGCCAATAATGATTCATACAATCCCCCTTCCATCCACCTACACAGCATCAACTCCACAATCCAAAACTCCGAAGAACAAGGAGGAGCGGGAGGAAGAAGCAGCTCCAATAGCTTCCCCCATTGGTACTCGCCGGAAACAGGGATATACAGAAGCAAGCACCCTTCCGTACAACTTCCGACCGACCCATTTCTCGACGTAGTCTCCTTCATCTTCTCCCATAAACACGGCAGCGCATCTTCTCTGGTCGATTCACAATCTGGGTTTTCAATTTCCTACCCGGAGCTCTACTCTCTGGTCAACTCCATGGCCGGCGGTCTCCACAAAATGGGCGTTTCGCAAGGCGATGCCGTCTTGATCTTGCTTCCCAATTCCATTCATTTCCCGGTGATCGTTCTGAGTGTTCTGAGTCTAGGAGCAATAGTGGTCCCCATGAATCCTCTGAGCACTCTGTTTGAGGTAAAGAAGCAAGCTTTAGACGGTATGAGTAATATCTCTCTGGCATTCTCTTCCATCGATAGGGTTGAAGAATTCAGTGCATTGGGTATCCCGGTGATTGGGCTGCCGGAAAGTTCAAATCTTGATTTTCCGGCAGGCTCTGTTTTCGGTGATTTGATTCGCAGCGATTCGCAGACGGCCTATAAGCCAAGAATCAAGCAGGAAGACACCGCAGCGATTCTGTTCTCATCTGGAACGACGGGGGCTTGCAAGGGAGTGGTGTTGACTCATCGGAATTTCATAGCAACGGTAGAACTGTTCTTGAGGTTTGAAGCTTCTCAGTACGAGTTTGATACCAGAAAGAATGTGTACTTGGATGTTGTGCCGATGTTTCATGTGTACGGACTTTCTATGTTCGTGATGGGGTTGTTCTCGTTGGGCTCCACGGTGGTTGTGATGAGAAGGTACGACGGCGATGAAGTGGTGAGAGTCATTGAGAGATTTGGGGTCACCCATTTTCCGGTCGCGCCGCCACTGTTGAGAACATTGACGCTAAAAGCCAAGGCGGCGGCGGCGGGTGGTAATAACAGAGTAGTGATGAAGAGTATGAAGCAGGTCTCATGTGGGGCCGCCCCCACAAGTTTAGCCTGGATTCAAGACTTTGTTCAAACACTGCCCCATATTGATTTCATCCAGGTATGTGAATGGACTCATGCACGGTAAATGGACAATAATTTGGAATTTTCAATCACAATACTTCATTTTGTAACACTAAAATCGACCGAATCCGTTAATATTACTAAAACTGATGAAGTTCCGTTTAAGGCGGTTATGTTGTCTGATTCGGTCGATTTATGAAAAATTATATTTAAAATATATTTCATTAAAAAATCATTATATTAAACATAGTTAAAATGGTTACCAACAATAACATCAGTCAATACAGCAAGAAAAGTAATTCAGACCTTACTTTTTCTTATAATACGGAGTAACATAATTCAGCGCACAAAATCAAAAAATTATGTGTTTGGTTAAAAAGTTAACTGATAAGTCTGATAAGCCGAAAAACAGAGTCACCAAACGGACTCTAAATTAGGAGGGTAAAATCGTCACTTTGATTTCACGTGCTGAATTGTGTAATAATCAAAAGAAGTAAGGTCGATGTTATTTTTTGACTGCATTATTGACTGTAGTTAGTATAAAGAACCATTTTATCTATTTTTTCATATAATTTTTTCTTCATATTATTAATTAATAAAATATACTGATGGAGTATATCGGTCCAGACCCAATGACCCACATACTTCCAGCTACATGCAAGACCCGGGGGATGTATGGCGTCAAGTAAAAGGAACACCCCGGGGACGTATGGCTTCCAGCACTCCGTCAGCCAGACGTACGTCTCCAAGGACTTCGTCTGCCGCAGCGAGACGTACGTCTCCAAGGACTTCGTCTGCCGCAACCAGACGTACGTCTCCAAGGACTTCGTCTGCCGCAGCCAGACGTACGTCTCCAAGGACTGCGTCTGCCACAGCCAGACGTACGTCTCCAAGAGCTCCGTCTGCTAGACTTCCATACTTAGCTCATTTACCCGAATGTAATCAGCCCAATAGAGACCTTATATTGTAATGGGCCTCCCAAGTCAAGATTTGGGAGCCGAGCCCGCTTTTCCCTATAAATACTCCCCTTGGGAGTTGTTGTAAGGGTTCGAAACTCATTTAATACAAATCATTTCTCTCTCTAGCTCTCACTTCTCTCTAGGAGTCAATACTCAATCACATACGTAGTATTTTAAATATTTTATTTTCCATAAATGAGAAGAATCGACCAATTCAATTAAAACTTCATGAATTTTAGTAGTATCAGCTAATTCATCCAATTTCAGTGTTACTAAATGAGCTCTACGTAATACTTTTTTAAAAGAACATTTGATATATTACACACAAATTCTATAATATTACCTCCGTTCTTTTTTAGTTGCAACGGTCAACATTTCACATTTGCCAACGCACGTCTTTGACCGTAATTATATCTTAATTCTATCAGTAAAAAAATATTAAAAATCAGATTTTGAAAATTTGTAATGAGATGAATTGAACAATATTTTTTCAAAAAAATGATTTTCATAAAGTAGTAGCGTAAAATGTAGTAAAAGTAGAGCATGTGAATAGTGTAAAATTCAACATGTTGCGATTAAAAAGAAACGGAGGATAGTAGTACGTAGTACTGTGTAGGTTTTATTATCAAAATAAGATTTATATGTTCTTACTAAATGAATAAAATGATAAAAGATCTTTTTCCAATAATATAACTCATATAAAATGCGTGGACAAAAATATAACTAAACTTGTTAGCTAGATGCATAACTTCCTTACCACTAAAGTCACTAAAAGTTAATCCTGCCGTGTTAATTTGATGGTACCATATTTTTCAAAATGATATTATCATTTCCTTTTTTTGGCAAAAAATTAATGCTCATGGTGCTGGTATGTGATCTGAGGGGTTATGAAGTGGGCTGGATTTGGGGGTCGCGAAGACGGGGGATTGCGGCAGATTCTCATGGGGCTGGGGTGGGATTTGGGGCAATTGCAGGGGAAGCTAGAGAAAGGACTGGAGGGCTGGGGGGGGGGGGGGGGGGGGGGGGGTTCTTTCGGTCCGGGGAAGGGGATTTGGGGGCTGGCGTTGACAATGGTAAGAGAGGTAGGGCAAATGGTGGTGGCCGGAGTTTGTGGACGCAGGTGGACAGCGACGCAGGTGGCTAGGATGGGGATATTGGTATTACTTTCAGTCTAAACTTCACTGTTAGTCACATCCGGCTGGGGTTGGGATGGGCGGAAAGTCGTCGGAAAATATTCTACGGTCACAGTTACATGTTTATGACGGTAGTGACATTCAAAAGTGTCATGAAAACCGATAATGAAATTCAAAAGTGACATAAAATTCGATAATGACATATGATAGTGACATAAAAATTCCGAGTGACACAAAAATTTCGCAGACATCAATTTTTTTTAAATATATGACCTTCTTAGTCACTTTTTTCTTTTTTATAAAAATGGTCACATTTTTGGAATTTAACTTTAATTTGATAATACTTTAATTTGATAATATTTAAGGAAAAAGCCCAGAAATAATTATTTATTTATGACTAAAGTAAATTATATTCAACTTTTAGTCGTATTTGTGTATATGACTTTTATTATAGTAATATCTTTGAAAATCCCACTCTTCTTGAAGTTCAACTTTAAATTATTTCATATTTATCGCTTAAATCTTGAAAATTTATCATGCAGGCAAGCTAAGTGTTTTCCTTAAAATCAATCAAGATCTTTTTGCTGTATTTTGAACTTCTATAGCATATACTCCGTATATTACTTTTTGGAAAAATTTGGAAAAAAACTAACACTAGTGCAAAATCGTTAATCAGAGGCGCTTCAAATGGCTCACGTGCGGCGCTTTGAAGCGCCTCTAAAAAATGTGTCGCAAATCTCAATTGGAGGCGCTTTTTTGACTGGAAGCGCCTCTAATATTTAAAAAAAAAAATCGGAATTTTGCGGCACTTCTTATAGAAAAAGCGCCGCACGCGTGGCCCAAACAGAGGCGCTTCTGATGAGTTTTTTTATTTAGAGGCGCTTCTGACAAAAAAAACGCCTCCAAAATGTGCTACGTAAAATGAATTAGAGGCGCTTCTAACCTTAAAAACGCCTCCAAACTTGGCTCCGTATTCTGTTTTAGAGACGCTTTTTTAACAAAAGCGCCTCCAAATTTTATTATTATTTTTATATTTTTTTTAAAATACTATATAACCTGTTTTATTTACAGATCCATTGTCAACCAAAAAAACACATTCATTCATTCATAAAACCAGAATAACGATAAAATCGTTTCGCACAAATACAATTCAAAAGGTACAAATTTGTATCACAATATAATAAAACTACATTCAAGTTTGACTCAGTTCTAATGTCATAACACTTCATCTACAAAAAACCTAGCCCATACTTTTCTAATGTCATCAAACTCCTCCGTTGTATATGGCTCAGTTCTTGAATTCCAAACCTGAAAGTAATCATAAAAATATAGATAAAATAAGTAATGACAAACTAAATTATACTATCGTATATAAGTTAAATGATTTAATGAAATCCACCTATTGAATGAAGTATATATAATTCAGATACCTGTGCAATATCTGAACTTCCAACAGAAGTTATTATTTCCCAAATAAACTTCATCACATGATATCCACATTCTGTGTTGCCCGTTTGTCTTGCACACTATATATTAGATGACAAATATACATTATTATTTTATAATATGATTTTTTTACATAAAAGCATAACTTATGTAAATAAGAGAAGATATATGATGAAAGTACCTTCATATTATGCCATTTGATCGGCTTGCCACGACCCTTTTGTGTAGACGCAACTCTATACATCCTATAATGATAATTAAGCTCAATGTATATATATATATATATATATATATATATATATATATATATATATATATATATATATATATATATATATATATATATATATGCTCAATGTTGACATACAAGTATAAATGTTAAATATAAATGTTAAATATCACAACTAAATCATTAAAAATACATACATCGTAAGATCTTTTTGAATAGCAATATTGGAATAACTTGGCAATGAATTGAAAATGTAGCCCTTATCAACCTTTGGACAAATTACAAACAAAACCCAATGATACCTATATTTCCAAAGAGAATAGAAAATGGGAAAATGTAGCCCTTATCGACCTTTGGAAAAATCAATCAAGATCTTTTTGCTGTATTTTGAACTTCTATAGCATATACTCCGTATATTACTTTTTGGAAAATTTTGGAAAAAAACTAATAATACTGCGTATACTTTTTAAGAAGTCGTAATTTTATAAAAAGTATAGACATAAAACTTTGTCATGAATGTAAACATATATATATAAATAATTTGAAAACTTTAATATAAAAAAATGTAAATAAAAATCAAAAAAATAATAAAGTAATCTTTACTACAAACAATTCTACAAATAAAAAATAAAAAATATATTCAAAAGTTGCGGAAAATATAAAAGTAAATTACTTCCGAAGAAAGAAAAGAAATACGGAGTATGAAACACAGTCGTATTTCCTTTGCGGAATATTAGATTTATGGAAAATATTAAGGGCATGTTTGGTTCGGGGAAATCACCTATGCAAGTCGGAATCTCATGCCCGGAATGTGAAATTTCCGTATTTGGTTCCCAGGTTTGATTTTTTTTTTTTTTTTTTTTTTTGGGGGGGGGGGGGGGGGATTGTTACATGCCCAAATTGAGAAGAAAGTAATGACATGCCCATTAATCTCAAACCCACTCACCTCTTAGGTTATCTTACATTCCTTGGTGGGGATGAATTTTATTCCAAAAATACTCATTCTCATTTAATCAAAATGGTTTAAATAATAGCATATTTATTTATTCTTAATCTATCCGTATAGGATTTTTTTAAAGAAACCCATCTGTATTGGATTTAAAAATACTATATACTTTAGAATTTGATTTATTAAAAATTAATGAAATAATTACATGTGTATGACTAAAAATAAAAGATTGTTTAGAAAAATATGAATAGTAACTATAATAGTAACTTAATCATAGTAACTTATATTGAATTTTTAAACTTAAGTGATCATGCATGGGCGGATCTATGTAGGGCCTAGGGTGGGCTCTAGCCCAGCCCAACCCAATTTTTTTTTGTTAGTATAGAAAGAGATTTAATTTTCAGCCCACCCAAAAATTAAAACTCAGCCCACCCCAAGTCTACAAGAAAGTGTTCTAAGAAGCTCTAAAAGCAAAAGGTTGCCCAAACTTTGTTTAAAGCCCATAGTCATGGGAACAAATGATCCCAAGAACAAATGATCCCGATGCGTAATAATAGAGCTTGGTGTGATTGCACCAAGAAGTGATTTATATATAGGACACAGGAGGGTGAACCATCCTTGCAGTCGGTGTGGGATAAATTGAGGAGCAAAACTTTACATACGGAGTATTAAACAATCGTATGTAGTTGGTGTTTGGAGCCAGCTGCAAATTATGCAATCCCATCTCACCCACTCACCCACACCATCAATGAAAGCACTTTATATTACAAGTTTACAATATTATTTTACAACATAAAATTTATGATTAATATTATATTATTATTATAATACTGTTATTATTATATGAATATTACTATTATTTGACCCAAGTCACCATGAGTAACTTTTATAAGCATTAAAATTTAAACATAATTATAATCATTAAAATAACTAAGTTACTCTTTATCAACTATCCTTATTTGGTCATATACTACTTCTATTATTATTATTATTATTATTATTATTATTATTATTATTAAAATTATTATTATTATTATTATTAAAATTATGCTTTTTCCATCACCCAATTCATTATCTAGTTCTAACTTTTGCAACAAGCATGGTAAGAACTACTATTTGTGATTTTTAGAACTCTAGAAGTATACTTCTGTTATAAAGCGACTAACAAGCACAAAGGAGAAGCGGGAAGGACTCAACTCAGTAAAGCGACGAAGCCACGATGTCACAAACACAGGCACCCAGCCGCACCGCCACCTGCTTTCCTATCCCCTATGTCTGCGGTCGATCGTCGGCGTCCCTCTAGAGCCCGACACTCCAGCCTGTAGCTCGTTGTGGCTCTGCCCCTCTAGTCTATTCGAGTCCGACTAGCTGCCTCTAGCCGAGTCTAGTTGTCCAGCCATCCACACATACTCTTATACTCTTTTAATCTATTATTTTGTGCATTAGTTTTATTTAATAGTTATGTAATTCTATTTGATTATTAATTTAATTTATGCTCAAACTCGGCTTGAATAAAATAGATATATGAACTCTATTTTTTTAGTTCAAATATATTTAAAAAATTGCAATGAAAATGTTTAAATTTTAAGATAAATAAAATTTATTCCTATAATTTACGAGTTATTGATAGACTCGAGTCCGGATCAAACCGAATACCACTATGCTCGAACTCAGCTTGAACAACTTTTCGAACTCAAATTCTAGCTCATGTTCGAGTTAAAAAAGGCTTCTTAAGCTCAGATCATTAAATTAAATTCGAAATCACGCTCGAATTCGCGTAGTTCGAAAAAAACTCAATTCGATTACGGCCCTAAGCAGCCTAAGCTAAACTTTTTGTTTGCAATAACAATTTTTTCCCTACTAAGCCCACCCCACTCTTCATTCCTGGATCCGCCCCTGTGATCATGATACTATATTGCACTACTTATGTCCTACTAATATTGAGACATGAGGAGGTTGTTTGGTTATTGAGAAAAGTGAATTTATGTGGTTAATAGTAAATTAAAAAAGTAAGAATAAAGTAAAAATGATTTAAAATGATCAAACACTAATTTTCTATTAGTGGTAGATAGTGAATTGCCTTTGATAGGAGTAACACTCATCCATCCTATAAAATAGTACCCGCTTTCCTTTTTGGGACGTCCCAAAAAATAGTTCTCATTTCCCTTTTTAGAAAGTTTTGTGTGGTAACCAATCATTTACCTTTTTCTTGCTCAACCACAACCATACATTTCCGTTTTATTAAATTCCCACTTTCTTAAACTCTGATCCAAATCCAAATGGATACAATTTTATGGGACAGAGGGAGTATAACATACAACTTTTCCGTAAATAAGAGTCAATCTCTAATATTCCCTAAATAGGATCAAACATTATTTTTACCCCTAATTTATTTAATTAATTGTCCCCCTATGTCCCTTGAATAATCGGGTCATTCTATTAGTGACGCGCGATCCGATTGCACCAAGTATATTGTGTTAAGAGAAAATATTTGAAGGACATTGAAGTAATTCATCAAGTCTGCAGTATAATATATCATTTAACTAAACAAATTAATATCGCATTCCTTTAATCTTAACCAAACACAAATGAGATATTGAATATATTTCTAATCTGAGATTCCTTGAATGCCTAAAAGTTCTATATGATCACAATATTGGAAGGAGAGATTAAGAAAAATTTGTTGTTACTATATGCCTAGGGTTATGGCATGACAGAGTCTGCAGTTGCAACGCGAGGTTATAACACTGCAAAACTTCGTAATCATTCTTCGGTAGGACTTTTGGCTCCAAATATGGAAGCCAAAGTGGTAGATTGGAATACTACTTTACCTTCACCTCCCAATTGCATGGGTGAGCTTTGGCTAAGGGGGCCTTCTATCATGAAAGGTAATTTCATAATTTCCATGTTTATGTAGTTATAATCAGTTAATCACATATTTGACAAATTATTAAAATTCATCTAACTTACGGTGCTCAAAAGCTAAGATTTGCTTTGCTTGAATTGTATTCATTATATATATATATATATATATATATATATATATATATATATATATATATATATATATATATATATATATATATATATAGGGAGCGGATCAGATGAGAAGTGCCCTTAGGCTGAGAACGGTGAAGCTAACTTATAGACTGAAAACAAGAACTTTTAACCAATAAATCATACTCCCTCCGTCTCTTATAACTTTGCCAACTTTCCTTTTTTGGTTGTCCCAAAAACTTTGTCACTTTCCCTATTAGTCAATCAATTTGTGGTTCATGTTATTTCTCTCTCCTCTGCACAAATCTCTATCACACAGTTTTTACTTTATTATTCTACGTGCCGGTCAAACTTGGCAATCCTTTTAGGTACGGAGGGAGTAACTTATAGACCCCTCGAAATAATTACGAACATGCCACCGCAAAAAATAAGTCTGGAGACCTTGGATATTTTTGGACGTTGTGACATTTTTGTAATTACAATGGAGAGCTTTATAAGTTATGATTTATTGGTTATAAGTTCCTATATTCGGTCTATAAATTTACTGCGTTGCAAGATCACATGCAAATCCAAGGGCTAATATTACTTCTCACTTCTCATTTTAAGGGACACTTCTCACCTGATCTTTTCTCTTTCTATATATATACACACACACACACACACACACACACACACACTACGTATTAAACAAAGGCTTAGTAAGAATGTTTTCTTTTGGACTGAAATTCGCTGGTCCGATCCAATCTAATCTAGTCTTGTCTGATCTAGTCTAGTCTAGTCTGAACTGATCTGGTAAACGTCTAGTCTCTATGTATTTTATAACTATAGAAGTCTAGTCTAATCTCAAAAAAACATCCTAAGCATTCATTTAAGTGGTATGGGTCAAACTAATGTGTGTACATACATATATAATCCTCATATTGAATGTTTCAAACTACATTCCCCGTTTATTAATTTTTACTTTTTAGGGCATCCTCATCCATGAGATTATTTAATGTTTAATTGGATGATGTGTAAGATTGTTTTACAGATCATCATTGTGAGTGAGAGATTATTTGGAGAGATTATTGAAAAAGAAAACCCAGTATCAAAATTTGAATCCCAAATTATTTTAGATTGTAGTTAAAATGCATTTAATGCATGATCTAGAATATATAATTATTTGAGTATCATGGTTGATGAAGAATTTTAAGACTTGAGATTATTTGAGATTTATGGAATAAATGTGATGTTGCAATGACGCGTAATCAAAAAATCATTTATTTTAAGATCATGAATGGAGAATTTGGTATAGGACAAAATAACTAAGAAATGATTTGGAAGCTTACTTTCACTGGAATAGATCGCTTATGTGGTCATTAGTATTTGATCATTTAACTTTTCCAATCATAACACAAGAACGCATCCATTTTTTCTTATCTTTTTTTTCAATTTAACTTTATAAAGTTAGTATTGCATGTTACTATTTTTTTCTTTTTGTATATCATGGTATTACTAGTATACGGCAGGGGCGGATCTGGCATAGGGCCAGGGAGGGCCTAGGCCCCACCTCAAAAAAAAAGAAATTACTAGTATATATATATATTATATATGTATTGGGAAGAAATGGTATAATTAGAACAAACGTCCTATTGTAAACAAAAGTTACATTGGTGTGATGGTAGAGGCTTGATTGGCAGTGTAGAGGTTATGTGTTCGATTCCTAGCTGGAGTAGCATTTTTTTTGTATTTTCCAACCAAGTCCAGGAACATGCTATCTTACACAAATCAAGTAGTCCAACTAATTGGGCTTTATTAGTCTGAAAAATCAATTAGTTCAATTGATTGAGCTTTTTGAATATTGTTCTAAAAATTAATTAGTTTATTTCATTGGTCTTTTGAATATTGACCCAAAAATTAATTAGTTGAATACATTGGATTTCGTAGGTGAAAATAAGTTTTCTTTACATAGAGTATAGATTTTAGAGTAAAAAAATCGGTTTATCTTGTTTCCGAGAAACTAACCTAAAAATTGGCACTAAACATTTGGGTAACCGATAAATCTTCGGTTCGATATCTATGACTTTTAAGATAATTGTATTGTCGGTTCTGTAATATTCAATTTATTCTTTGACATTTCTATAATTTACATTTTGACTTCTAAGATATTATTATACTGTACTACATTTTGACATTTTTTTATAATATACGTTATTTAATTAAATTTTGGCCCCACCTGAACGTAAATGCTAGATCCGCCCCTGAGTATACCTCCGTTCCGTTGAAAGGTTTCCATGGCAAAACAGCACGACACAGTTAGTTTTGATAATTGTGATGTACGGATGTTCTAAATGTATTATTTTTAATACTTAATGATTAAATTGTCATTTGAGGTTGCTAATTTAATTGTTTCCTAAAATGAAAATAAGAACCTTTATATGGGACGTCCAAAAAGAGAAAGTGAGAACTTTTCTGTGGGACGGATGGAGAATTTTTGTTATTATTATTGTCTTTTGTTATTTTTTGATGACACATTTAACTAGTAGGGTAAATCATGAGTTTTTTTTAGAGGAAGGATAGTTTTCGATCTCATTTCCTAATTAAGAGTACTTTTAAATATATTTTCTAAATGAGGGACATTTTTTTCTTTGTCATCCAATTTCACCACATAGCATGGTTTGGTCCACCTGGCGTGGTCCAACTGAACTTACATAAGAGTATAAGACCTGCTGAGGTTTAGTCCCGCAGATCCAGAAGCCCAACATAAACTTCGGAGATTAAGGATGATGGATATCAAAGTAAATAATAAATATAAAGTGTATGAACTAGCTATTTTTACGTGGAAACCCGGAAAGGGAGAAAATCACGGGACTTTTTAGCCTAACGTCCAAGCCCTCTCTTTCTCATTAACACTCTCATCACCATTTACATAGTACAAGCTTTTGGAGCTTCCATTAATAGAGCTTGAAATAACTAAAAGAAGAATAAGCGGGGAGAAGAGCTCCCAGGAGAGAAAAGCCAAAGATCAAAAATCCCCTCCCTTCCATAGGAAGCCCAGCCCCCTATTTATAGAAAGGGGAGGGTATAAATCTATTCTAATGGGTCAAAAGGCCTAAATGGGCCTAAATGGGCTGGTTGGACCGAAATGGGTCGGGTAGGCCTAAATGGGCATCGCCGACTGGGCTCCATACCGGGGTGATGACTTGGGCCTCTAAACAGTAGTAGGCCGAGATAATATTCCCCAACACAAGTCCCCCAGTTTTTTGAGTAGTGAGCTTGTGAATCTACTCAAGAAAGTATACTTTTGCTCACGTCCCTCGTTGCCTTCCCTGAATTGGCGTCTTCGAATGGTCTCAGACGCAAGGCATGCATAAGTGGCAGGTGAGGTGCAACCCCCACATTAGGCACGACGGCGCTGAAGAGCTAGCCGTTCGTGCTGCATAAAGAGTCGGTCCTGACCCTGAAGGGCATGGGCGGACCCGGCCGATAAGAAGACACGATGGCGCTTAAGAGCCAGCCGCTTGTGCTGCATAAAGTGGCGGTCGCCATCCTAAATTAAGGATTGATGAGCCCGCTCAAACTGAAGGCACGACGACGCTAAAGAGCCAGCCGTTCGTGCTGCATAATACGACGGTCGCCATCCTAAATTAGGAATAAACGAGCCCGGTCGTGAGTAGACACGATGGTGCTGTGGAGTCGATCGTGCTGCATAAAGTAGCGGTCGCCATCCTAAATTAAGGATTGATGAGCCCGCTCAAACTGAAGGCACGACGATGCTAAAGAGCCAGCCGTTCGTGTTGCATAATACGACGGTCGCCATCCCAAATTAGGAATAAACGAGCCCGGTCGTGACTAGACACGATGGTGTGTGGAGCCGATCGTGCTGCATAAGATGGTCCTTGCCGTGATATGGACTTACGATGCCATGGTCGTTGCCATGGTCCTTACATTGCCATCGTCGAATACGAACTAGACACGATGGCGTTGAGAGGTTGATCGTGTTGCATAAGATGCTCCTTGCTGTGATATGGACTTATGATGCCATGGTCATTGCCATGGTCCTTACATTGCCATTTCCCACTGGAATGGACCTAACTCGACTCTTATAGACGTGGACTTGAAACGTGGACTCGACTCGACTCTACAAACATGGACTCGACTTGACTTGACTCGACAAACATGGACTCGACTCGACTTCACTCGACAAACATGGACTCAACTCAACTCACCATCTTCCAAACCCATACTTCCGATGTAACCCGTCCGGTTTTCTTCGATCCGGGCCATCCATACTATGGGTTTGAGATGTCCATCTTCAAACTAAAAACAAGACTCTGTGTTTGGGTCACTCCTTGTCAGTAGCTAAAACGGAGACTCACTTCCAAGTCATAGCTCGGATTCCACCACGACGATTTCCCTTCGTCATGGTTTGTCGGAGCTACAAACTAAGGCGAGGTTTAAAAACCAGAGTCCCGATCCCCCGTTCGGTTACCCGTGTTACCGAATGCCGCTCGGTTCATCCTACTCATAGTCTTGACATCACCTTCAAACCGTTTGGAACCCTTGGCTATGGCGAGGTCCAACTGAGCTAATATGATGGCTCCCTCCAAACTGCTAACATGTTCCTCATTCGGTCATCCGGAATGATTTTGCATGTTAACCGCTGACGTGAGACTCTCAATGATGATCGGATTCCTCGTCGGAATTAGCCATGAGGCACAACCCTGCGTGATTGGAACTCTTTTCACTTTCATCCTCATCATCATCGGATGAGTCTCCCCAAGCTGCCATCATTTCCTTCTTGAGGTCTCGGTTGAACCCTTTGTCTTCACCGGACCTCCGGTGGGAGCTGGTCGTGTTCTTGTCGTAGGTTCTGTCATTTTTCTTTTGGGGACAATCTTTTGCCCTGTGCTCAAAGGATCCACAAACAAAACAACTATGGTTATTAAAAGATTGAAAACCCTTTTTACCTTGCTTATTCCGGTTGCCTTTGAATTTCCGGTACATCTTTCCGAATTGCTTGGCAAACATGCTCATTTCGTCTTCTGATTCACTTTCGGATTCTTCTTCTTCCTCTCGAGCCTTGAGAGCAATTCCTCGCTCCTTCCTCACATTTTCGGCATCTTGTTCTTCTTGTAGGCCTAACTCATATGTCATGAGTGAACCGGTCAAGTCCTCTAGCGTCATGGTGGAGAGATCTTTAGCTTCCTCTATTGCCGTAGTTTTTGGCTTCCATGCGGAGGGCAAGCTTCTCATAACTTTTCTCACTTGATCTTCCACAGTAATAACTTTTCCAAGTGCTGAAAGCTCATTTATAACATTAGTAAAGCGTGTAATCATATCCCTAATTGACTCTTTAGGTTTCATCACGAACAATTCGTAATTACGCATAAATATGTCAATTTTGGATCTTTTTACACGCGAGGTACTTCATGCGTAACCTCGAGTAAATCCCACATTTTTTTGCGGATTTGCATCCAAGAACCCGGTTGTGCTCAGCCGGACCAAGTCCACAAATCAAATATTTTAATGCTTGGGCATTATGCTCGAGTTTACGATAATCATCAGAAGTATATTCAGATTTGGGTTTAGGGATAACCTTACCTTCGGCATCCTCCTTAGATGATGTTATCGCCTACCTCAATTACGTTCCATACCTGGTAGTTCTCAGCCTTGATGAAGTTCTCCATTCGACTCTTCCGGAATTGGTAAAATTTGTCGTTAAACAACGGTGGTCGTTGAGTCGAGTACCCTTCTTCCAATCGTTCAACTGTATTCATACTGTCGGATCTCTTCCCAAGGTTTTACCCTTTATGTGGTGAAGACCGGCTCTGATACCAATTGATGAAACGGTTAGCAACACAAGAGGGGGGTGAATTGTGTGTGTGTGGAACCGTGACAGATTTTCGCACAGTTCTAGTGTGGGGTTCAGAGAAATGCGAAAGAGTAAAGTGCACAAGGATTTAACGAGGAAAAATCCCTTAGCTCAAAGGGATTAAAAAACCTCGACCTCCCTCGGAGGAATTTGAACAACTCAACTAAAAAGCCTTTTAATGATTACAAGGGAAACTCTCCTAGTCTACCCTTGAGCCACCCCAACTCTATTCTCTCTAGGAAGAGTTATGCTTCTCTACCTTGCGGGTAGAGAGCCTCTCAGCTTTACAACAAAGCTCTCACAACACACTAACCAACCCGAGGATGCTACACTTAGTCAATCCTCAAAATCCCAATTACAATATGAAGGGAAAAAGAAACTCTGTCTGGAACTCCGTGAGCAGGTTCAGGTGCCTTGGACTTAGTAAATATTCTCGTGTATATTTCTCAATAGAAGCTCGGTCAAGCACACCCTCTTGCTCTTGATCCTTCGAATATATATAGGCTAGAAGATGTTCGTTGATCCTCCTTTCTTTAGAAGCTTGGTAGACTTGCCTTGCTTTGAATTACTTTCCTTCCAGTAGTTTCTTCCTTATTCGTTCAAGCATGAGTAAATCGACTCATGATTTATGAACCATCATATAAGGAAATATAGATTTACTTATCATGTAAATATGCAATGGACATTAAGTAGCAATAAAATATTCATGCAATCAATTTAGATCGAGTTACAATAATATCTCATTAGAAAAGCTACGGTCAACTTTTAATTAATAATGGCAATCAAATTAAGATGACAAGATAGCATAATATTATATAGAAGGAAGTAGTATATTGGCTTGTCAAATATAAGCATGCAACGCACATTATGTAGCCATAAAATATTTATGCAATCAATGATTAGTAAGATATTCATGTAGGCAAGCCAAGATACTTTCCAAATATATTCATTTAATATTTTAACTAATAATGACTTTTCAACATTAAGTGATAATGAAATATTTACTTAGTGGATCCAAATATGCTACGGTCAATTGCTGCAGGATATAAGCAATGATTCTTTCCATAACCTATAAAGCTATATAGACCAACTCATTAAAGTGAGTGCTTAGTCGTGCATGGAAAGATATTTAAATTGTGCCACATATATTAAGTGAGTGCTTAGTCATGCATGATCAATCTAGGCACATAGATAAGGTATTATCATGCAAGCACATATCAATTAATGTATTCATTATGCACGACAATCATTCACATAGAACAGAAATAAGTATAGTTCTAATTTTCGTTCCTGATACAACTAAGAGCAGTTCTGTCCGCCGTTCTACCTGCATGGTTAGATATCAGTAAAACCAATGTGCACTTATATCATAGGATAGTTTCATCGATCTTTTGTTCATGCATGTTTAGTCATCAACAGTTCCTTCTTTCATTCCTGCATGGTTAGTCATCAACAAAACTAAATATTCAACAAAATTATAGGTGAAGTTTCTAAAATAGGACACAATATGTGTTCTTGGTAAAAATATATCGAATATATCTTATTTAGTCCGACTAAAAGAATACAAGAACAAAAACTTGGGCTTTGATCTGAATTTTACTAAAAATGGATAACGAACAAAAAAGTGATCCTTTCTAATTGATAATCCTTCCGTCCCCTTATTACTAAATGAGGGTGAGCTTATTATTAAGTAGATTAAAAATCCATTTTTATTAATTGATAATCCTTCTGTCCCTTATTTAGTAGATTGAAAATTGATATTTAGTACTAGATTATTTTGCTCACAATTAATTGATAGCCCTTCTGTCCCTTATTACTAAATGAGAGTGAGTTTTCCAAGTTTGTATATTATACAATCGGGTGTATAGTAAGGATGTTTTTACTTGGACTGTAATTCGTCCCAGACTAGACCAGACCACTTCAGACCAGACCAGACCAGACCAGGCCAGATTTGGATAGTTATAAAAATACAAAGAAACCAGACCAGACCAGACCAGTTCAGACCAGTTCAGACCAGATCAGACCAGATCAGACCAGACCAGACCAGACCAGCAAATTACAGTCCAAGTAAAAACATCCAACCATACAATTAGATATTTTGTTATTTCTTCAACTCTGAGTTTAATTTATACACTTTCATCGGCCTTTACTCTATAATCTCCTTATCACTTGTGTGCGTCTATAATTTTTAATTTATATATGTAAAACTGACTCTTGCAAATGTCAAATAAACTAAATTGGATGACTATTTGATTATGATAACCTATCTTCCTCTTTCATTATATTAGTAGAATTGTAGACTTGTATTTATTAAAGTAGCTCGATCATCTTGAACACCTACCAAATGTTTGAAAAATTAAAAAGCGAATGTTTACTTCTTTTTATGTTATAGAGTATAATGTTCAAAAAGTGTGCATATGTTTGATATTATAAATGAGCATGACAAACACTTCATATACATTAATCATGGGTATGTGTTTCAAAAAATATCTATTGGTGTAACGTTATGAAACAAAAACAATAAAGTTTATATGATTGTAAACTATTTTCTTAGTAGGTTTTTTATTTTCTTAAACCCTAGTTATATTAAGTTGGCCTCCAACAAATATATATATAAGTGTGTGAATTCTTGAAGTGATTTTTATTACCCAAATGAGCATAACGTTTTCAAAAAATATGCATTGATATAATATTTCAAAATGAGCCCATAACAATTAAGGATTGAGCATACAATATTTATGATATAAACTTTTTGAGTAATGTATATTCATTATTGTATGTTCATAAAAAATCTTTATTGGGCTCGTTTTACACTATCATAGCAATGCTCATTTTGTATAAGAGTTATACTCATTTACATATAGCATGAAATTAATTATAATGTCTTCCGCATGTACTATATTGTTCAAAAGTCCATTTATATAATTGAATTTATTAACTAAATTATCAATAAATTTATCTATGAAAAACATAACAAATTGATCGACAAAAGTATTTTACAATTCGCTATTATAGACTTGCAAACTTTGTTAATTTTGTAATGTTATATCAATGCCCATTTCAAACTTTATTAAACACAACACTCATAATAATATATCAAAAGCTCATTCCAATAGTCCACGTGTATTAGTGTTCGGGTATCTTTGGCACAACTAACTGGAAATATACTTTTGTGAGTTTTTTAATAACTGTTAGCTTTTAGTGATTGAAAAGATCTTAACGAGAAAAAGTGGCAGCTATTTGGTAAAAAGCTGATTGTTTGATTTAGTTCGCTTTAGTATACAAGATGTTAGGACTAAGTAATACTAAATGCCACTGTTTTGATTACGCCTCTGGTTTTAGTAGAACTAGCTAAAAAGATATTTTAATGAATATTTAGTGAATGTTACTCCCTTCCTTTTTGGGTAGGTCCATAATAAACTTTACACTTCTCCCTTCCTTATTTGACATATTACCTACGTCAAAACAGTGCAAAACAGTGTCAAACAGTGTCACAACAATGTACTCTACAGTAAAGTCAAATTTATTTTCTTAATTTGTGTGAAGTCAAAGTGTGAAGTTTATTTAGGATCGGAGGGAGTAACGTAGTTGTTAGTAACTAAAAAGTTCTTGAATGAAAAGTATTGTAGTTGTTCGAGAAAATTGAGTGTTTGACATAGTTCAAATTTAGTTAAATAAGTTATTGTGACTAACTAATTAATAATATGATTTCTCTCAATAGCAGCACTTTGTAACTTCTAAAAATTAAAAAATATCCAAAATTTTAAGCTAATTAATCCCAAAATGTGTTAGGTTGTCTCAATGTACAACTAAATTCTTGTAGAAATCTATGTTTTTTAGCACAATCTCAAAGAAAAGGATGTACTGAATTAAATTTGCAGGGTACTGGAATAACATTGAGGCAACGAAAAGTACAGTAGATGATGAAGGGTGGTTGCATACAGGTGACATTGTCTATTTTGATCGAGAAGGGTACCTCTATGTTATTGACCGGTTAAAAGAGATTATTAAATACAAAGGCTTCCAGGTATATATATATTTCACAAATAATGATATATGGTACCAAGTATATCATATATTCCATAAAGACATAATCTTATAAATTTGTTTAATATTTTTATCCACAACAGGGACTTTGACTCATAAAATAAACTATGAAACCAATACCAAAAATTGATTGTAATAATTGTTTGATTTTGTGTGGGTCAAATACTTCAATATTTTCATAATTCAAATCACAGTCCTCTTAAAGTTTAGGATATAAACCGACAATATAGATATAAGGATGTTTTTACTTGGACTGTAATTTGCTGGTCTTGTCTGGTCTGATCTGGTCTGGTCTAGTCTGAACTGGTCTGGTCTGCTCTGGTCTGCTTTCTTTGTATTTTTATAACTATCCAAGTCTGGTCTGGTCTGGTCTGAACTGGTCTGGTCTGATCTGGTCTGGTCTGGGACGAATTACAGTCCAAGTAAAAACATCCTAAGTGCACAAACGGTATCTTGACTCTATTTATATTGATTGATGCATTTTGATATTTTAACTCGTAAGTAAAGTAAATCAATAACATAATTACTTTGAAATATATACTGTGCCGTAGATACTAGATACCTCTCAAATTCCAGCCACAAAATATTATGTGCTTCTGAGTAGGATTGGACTCGGGCCGGGTCGGGCCCGGCCGGGCCGCCGGTTCCGTATCCATAGGCCCGAGACCGGCCCGGGTCTTGACCGGTTCCGGGCCGGGCCGGTTCCGGTTCATTTTTTTATTATTCTTATTTATTTCACCCCCCAGCCCCCATCCCCCCCAACCCCCCAAACCCCTCGGAAATACCCAGCCCAACCCAACTAACCCCAGCCCAAACCAAAAAAATCAAAAAATAAATAAAAAAAGGCCCGAACCGGGCCCGGCCCGGCCGGGCCGATTCCCCTTTTCCCTTACCCGTGTCCGGAACCGGTAGACCCCTCGAGCCTAGGCCCGAACCGGAACCGGACCCGGTTTCCCGGGCCGGGCCGGTCCCGCACAATAGCGGGCCGGGCCGGTTCCCGGGGTGGGTGGCCCGCACCGAGTCCAAGCCTACTTCTGAGTATAATTGACATACTTCCTTCGTTCCATAAAAATTGCAACATTGGAATTTTTGTACTATTCACACACCTTACTTTGACTATGATTTTCTAATAATATACTACCTCGGTACCTCCGTTCTTAAATAAATGCAACACTTTGACTTTTACACTATTCACATGTTCTACTTTGACTACGTTTTATTTATTAATGTAATAATATTATTTTATGAAAAAAATATTGTTAAACTTGTCTCATTGTAAATTTTCATAATCTAATTTTTTTAATTTTTTTACTAATACAAAACCATTTATATTAATGGTCAAAGTTGTGTCTCGGCAAGTGTGAAATGTTGATCGTTGCATTTATTTAATAACGGAGGAAGTATATAATAAAAATATTATGTATAAAATATTAATAATTTTGTATTAATGTAAATTTCCAATATATTAACATTTTTTAATGTTCACTAATACGTAAATAAATATAATTACAGTCAAAGTTGCGCGTTGACAAACATGAAATTCAAACCGTTACGACTTTTATGGAACGGAGGATAATATGTGACAATGACATGGATAAAGTAACTACTGAGTTGTATATGTGGAATTCTAAAAGAGACGTGATTTTTTTGCCACAATTGTGAGTGATTCTGCCGAATAAAAGGTTAAAAACTGAAAAATAGTTGAAGAATAGATTTGCTTCATCTAATAGTCAGGTATCAAAATGTATCAATACCATATTTAAGGCACCACTTTTTTAGACGCGTGACATTAGCTCAACTAGAGTATAAATATGGGAGTCATTCTTGGTGTACATTTTTTGTACACTCGTCTGTGCGAACAGATAATTGTTGATTTTTTTTAAATGACATGTCTGTCCGTAATATAAATGCAGATCGCTCCTGCCGATTTGGAAGCAGTGTTAATTTCTCACCCAGATATTATTGATGCTGCAGTAACCTCGTATGTTTCATCCTTTCTTTGGTTGGGAAATTTGTTTATACTAATTTTTGAACTTCGATAATTCAATCAAGTAAATAAGTTTTTATTCCAAGAGATTTGTAATAAGCAAAAGACTTTTATATGTGGTGAAAAGTTAAGAAAGAAATTAACCAAATGATGTATGTGTGTATATATATATATATATATATATATATATATATATATATATATATATATATATATATATATATATATATATATATATATGTTAGAGCCAGGGAGGAAGAAGTGGGAGAGATTCCAGTGGCATTTGTGGTCAAGAGGGACAACAGTGAACTATCTCAAGCAGATGTAATTGCTTTTGTAGCTAAACAGGTAACTCTCAAGTTTTTTGGGTGATCCCTTCTTTCTCTATCAAGACTTATATTCTAAAAGCATATAGGGTTATTAATCATAGTACCTCGGCTATACAAACATGCTAGACCATTGTTACTAACACAAGGAGCATCTCTTACTTTGAGAAGTTGCTCCTACACTGCAACTGACGGTCGATCTTAGGTCATTGTTTCAAATTTTCACCTGGGTAACCAACTGAGCCGCCCATGCAGACAATGTAAAGTTAAACCATTTTATTAGAGAATGTGGTGCATACATTACTTTTTCTGAGAATGGGGTGCAACGCTTAATATCATCCAAAAATGAGGTGGAAAGTCAAATATCATCCAGAGGATACAGATACACATCTTAGGGGATTTTCTATCTGTATTGTTAATTTTAAAGTTCTTTCAATTTAAATGAATTTTCTTATCTTTTTCATGCACTTATTGTAATGACAGGTTGCACCATACAAAAAGGTTAGGCGAGTCTACTTCACAACATCAATACCTAAATCTCCAGCAGGAAAGATTCTCAGAAAGGAGATGAGGACTTCAAAATTGTAGACCTTATTTGTCACTCCAACTAACTTTCCATTTTTTGCTGTTATATCCCTTCAAAATTGAAAATGTACCAATAATTAGTTTATACATTCCTTTTAAAATCTTCTAATGACCAACATGGCAACATATGGTTAAAGTAAAGGTAGAAAATGTCACATTCAATCAGAAATGACACTTACAAGAAATGTAGTGATCATGGTTTTGTTTAATTGAATATTATTACACTTGAGTTTTTATATGTATAGCAACTGTACTCAAACTTTTTTCCTTAAGTTTTTTAATATAACACTTTAAATAAATTCAAATTACATTTAGTTCTCTAAGAAAGTCTTAAGCCAGATTAGTGCAAGACTTTATATATGATACACATCTGAAAATAAATACAAATCGCACGGGAGTTGATTCACATTAACGGGAAATCATCTAACCGGCTCAAGAGGAAGAGGAAGAGGAAAAAGGATGAGAAGATGAATCTAATAGATTACATGGTGAGAGAGAGATCAGTGAATTTGTTTCATTTGTTGTTGATCATGCCCTTGCTTCAACTGCAAGTGTAGTCTTGTTGGAAACAGTGATCTGCTCAAAGAGGTCTCTGATCTTCAACCCAACAATGGTTTGGAAGAATCCAGTTCCATTCTTGCTCCCCGGGAAGTCGGCATTCTTCAACATGTGCTGAGTTACTTCTCCATAGAATTTGGTGGACATGTTGCTCAAATGGCTTTCAACATAGATGAGTTCATCTAGTCTATCAAACTGCCCATCCATCTCCAATATCGACACCTTCATTTTTAGGCCAACATTATGACACGAACAAAATTCTCCGTAACTTTACTCACTTGCGTATCAGGTGTATGTCGTAACTAACATCCAAAATTAAGAACCTTTCCGCCAGAATGTACTATTTCTATAAAAAACATTCCATGCCAGTATCGGCTTTTCTAGTGCATTTTTTGCCAAAAATTGTACATTCTAGCGGAAAAGTTCTTCATCCCAACAAAGTTATTAGTTACGACATACATATGGTTTGAAGCAAGTATAATGATAGGAATAATAAGGAGTGCAGTCAAAAGTTACGAAACTAAATCAAAAAATCTCCTTTAGGACATGCATATAGAGCCACATGTACAAATAAAACAAATGTGATACACTTGGAACCTATTTGGTAACTCTTGTATTGGGCTTATCAGTCTCTTGAGTAAACTTTTTTACCAAACACTATACTTTCGATTTTGCACGTTGATTTGTGTAGTAATCAAGATAAGTAAGATTGACGTTGCTTTCTTGGCTAAGTTTGCTTAAATGAACTATTTTATCCGTATATTATATCATTTTTCTTCATTTTATTAGTAAAGTACATTTTAAATATAACTTTCGTTATTCAACATTCATTCCATCCATCCACTCCAGTCATAATCCCACCTATTTTAGCTGATTCGGGCAATTTCAATGTTACCCAATCGACTCTTGGTTGATGAAGACCGGGCTAACCAGCATTGAGAATTGGTGAATAAGACAGAATGTATAGTATTTCCATATGTATATGTATACCTCATGACCAAAGTAAGTATCAGGCCCATAGAAGAACTTGATGCCAGGATAAGAACATGTAAGCTTTCTACCGCAAGGGATCCAAGAGATGGTAGAGCCTTCATCAAAGAGGTAAACAGAGCTGAAATGCTTCACCTCTTCTTTCATTATTAGTCTCACTCTCAATATATTGCCCTCATTGTCATCTGGAATCAACTGTGTTGGCAACACCTCTATTACCACATCTGCATATTGTTTTTGCGGGTCTACAAACAAACAAACACTTCAAATAAAACATCATTTTTGTGACGGGTTTTACCGCGTACACAGATTCCTTCACAAAATTTCTCGACCTACAGGTTTGATTACGGTTTCATCTCGAATCTGTTAGTCGGGAAATTTTATGAAGGAATTCATGACAAAATCCATCACGACAGTGATATAAATTTTTGCAATGAAACGTGCATTTTGTCTCGTCAACATATTCCTGTAACAGAGAATATAAATGCATATATAGATACCAATGTAGGCATCAAAATCGGGCTTCCTGGCTTGTATGCTGGCTTTGATGCTTTCCAGGCTGTGTCCTCTTTCAGCCATATCCCTCTGCACGCCCAAATAACTTAATTCAGACTCAATTTAAGCTTGTACACTGAACTTAATGTAGTATCATAACTTGTGAGTGTACCCATTATTAGTAATGTGACTTTTGTAACAACACCACACAAACACTACAAAAAAATACGGATTTGGCACGGATTTAACGATAAATTCATGCCAGATAGCTCGTGTCAAACTGTTTTTGGCACGGATTTGGCATATCCCGACCTGCCAAAATCTCTGTCAATCAATCTCGTGTTTTTTTGTAGTGAAAATAATATTTCTTCCATCCGAAATTGATTTGCAGTTTGCGACAGTTAAATTTTCTTTGTGATTTGTGATAGTTTAATCTTCTCTAAGGATAGAAGTTGTATTAAAAGCTGCATAAAGTCAAAAATTTCATATTAGAATAAAGTAAAAATTGGTAGCCTAGATAAGTAAATAAAGTTAAGGAACTTTATTAAGTTAAGACCTGAAAAATAGATGAATTATCAATTTAGGACTTGAAAGATGAAACATGTCGGTATAGAGCCTCAATGTTTGAAAACTGCCGATCTAGGACCTAAAATAATACATGTTTTGATTTATTTAAATTTTTATTAATTCTATTGCTATTTTTTTAATGAATTTTTCTACACAAAGGTTTATTAGTTTAATAAAATTAAATAATATTTTAAATTTTTAAAATAAAAAATAATTAAATTCATGACAACTTAGGTCCTGGATTGATAGATTCATTCATTCGGGTCCTATACCGACACATTTCATCTTTTAAGCCTGAATTGATAATTTTTCTAAAATCAAACTATGTTGATCAATAAAAATAGATTTGCAAATCATTTAACTCAGAGGAAGTATATTTAATTTATGTATTTTTTATTACACTTTTTGAGATACTCCGAATCAAATTTCCCGACACGGCAAATTATATCGCACACCCAGATGTACGGTCCTCACCATACATCCGGGTAATTTTTCAATTAATTAAGATGGATTGGCTTGAAGCAGCTGCCTTCTCCCGCATCACTCATCCTAACACCAGTCATCAGTTGACAATACTCCCCACTCCGATTTCCTTTGTGCAAATCTAGAAGATGCTAGATGACTCTGAGATTTGCTAGTGCCTGCAGCAACCATGGAAGACCCATCTTCAATCACCAACTCTGTCCAGCAACTTCAGTATACATGATTCAGAGAGCCTACAGAGGTCCGAAAAATGCTTGCCGTTACTGTCCACACCAATTTTCTTCTTCTAAGGACTTTAAATTGTTCCCAGCATCGGTCTCGCCATGGTTAGAGAAGAGTAGTGATGGCCGATGTGCAGAGAAGACGTGGTGTAGCAGAGGGATGCGGAACAGCAGAGGGATGAATGAGGGCATTTTGGGTTTAATTGAAATCTTTAATTTAATAACTTTCCTTAAAGTTCCTATTATTTACTAAAAGCCCTGGAAGCACATAAAAGAATCAAATGGGTGCTTTCAGCTTTTGCATTAAAACTGCTTAAATTTAAGCGGAAATGTGCATCTTTCAAACATATAGAGTATTATACTACATTGATTCACATTGAGTTTTATGTTAAATTCAAATGAGTATAACGTCCAAAATGAATGAGCACGCAAAAATTCATTTTAAAATTTTTTGATACTCATTTCGTAAGTTATGTATGCTCATTTGGTAGTAATGGTATACTCATTTTAAAATGCCATATCAATAATGTAATTTTAAAATTATTATATTGTTTTTAATTGAAATCGATAATAGACATAATTTCAGAAATCTTTTTTAAACAAATAAAAAAAATTACATTAGAACATTTGAATCAGATTTCACGATGCTCATTTTTAAGCTCCTATTACTCAAAAGAATAGGCAAGATACTCACCAAACTTGCATTAATGCTCATTCAAGACAAATCGCGATTTTCATCTCAATAGCAGAGGTTTGATGCTCAATTAAAATGTCGTGATGTTCATATCAATGCATATTGAATTATTAAACTCGCATATTGTAATTAATATGAGTGTATTATAGATATGATTTAATAAGTTTTTATAAATAAAAATAAGAAAAAGAAAAAAGAATTAGAAGATATGAAGCAGGGATCGTGGTACTCATTGTTAGTCTCTTAAATACTCAATAAAATAGGTCTGATACTCATTAAAAGTACAATATTGCTCATTTAGCGGGAGTCGTAGCTTTTCGCTTAAATTACAAGAATGCCATCGAATTTTTTTAGCCTATATTAGTGGTTGGGCCGTCTTTCTTATTTGGGCCGGGTGTACGTACACCCAGATGCACTATATATGAACTGTCCCGACACACATAGTTGCTGACTTGCTGGAATACATAGGAGTTGGCGATCAGGATTATGGGATCTTTGCTATCATTTGATGGTTAAATAAGTTATTTGATTTTCAAAAAATATTGAAAATATAATAAGAATTGATGAATTCAATTTTCAACATATATTTTTGCACATGCATATTTGTAAGTATAGAAATTGCTCTAAATAGGAGCAAAAAAGTTTTGAAATTTCAAAATAGGAGTATTATGTTTTTTATTCCCTGAATAGGAGTAATCTGTCAAGTTTGGGAAAAATGTCATGTTTTAAAGCCTAGTAATGCCAAACTTGGCAGGAATTTACTCTTATTCAAGGAATAAAAAACATGATACTCCTATTTTGAAATTTCAAAACTCCTATTTGGAAAAGAAATCTGGTAATTGGAAAACAAATATTGTACCTTAATTTTCCATGCAAACTTGACTTCATTGCTGATATCTAAGTAGATACTGAAGTCCAACAGCTCTCTCACACGTGCGTCAAACCTACTCATCAATCCCCAAAAAAAATTGATAATAATTAAGTTCTTATCATAATTCACATTAACAGTATAAAAATAGTCACAATAAATATAATTTAAGTTCATATTCTAAATGAATAGTAAAGATTTTTTGCGACGAAAAGTGATGCTATAACATAAAAATATTGAACCTTATTGGGTTGGAGACATGGAGCCATAAAGTTACTAATGCTGAAAAGAAACAACCTAAATGGGCGGCCCAACAAGGAAAAAGATAAGAGCCCATAGATGAATATATAAATGCGAAATGACACACACAAAACGATATTAATTCCTCAACCATAGAAATAAGACCAAAAGATAATAGATGGATATCCACATATATTATCTCTTCTATCTATTGTCCCAAATTAAATAGTGGCCTTATTTACCAAAAAAAGGAGTTTATGGCCATAATTTTTTTTTGGGTGGCCTTATTTACCTACTCCTATATACCTATACCTAAGCTTATCAAGAAAAAGAGTTTATGTGATTGATATTGAACTCATAAATTAAGAATAACGTAAAAATGATTTAGAGATACACAAACTTTACCAATTTTGGTAGGGAACAATCTTAGTGGGATTTCTCGGAAAAAAACAATGAGACAATATTAACGAGACGACAAAGAGAATAGTATATACACGCGTAAATTATAGTTATGGATGTTTCATTCAAACACAGGGTATATTTATATGCACAGTAAATATATTCAGTTTATTCAGTAAAAAAATACCGACCACTTTAATTGTTGTACAATATACTAGCATATAATACTAGTCATAATTTAAATAATTAAGTAATTAAACGCCATGCATTACTAATAAATACCCAAACTTAGTTTGTTATTAGCTAGCCACATCACCTTATCCAACTCTACAGTATCTACAGCACTGAGATATATATGAGTGAGGTTAAAAGAAAAAATGAAGGTAAGAAGGAACTTACATAGGATGCAATCCTTCAATGACAAGGATCTTTGGAGGAAGAATGCGCTCAGGAGGATCAAGAAGGCCAGTGACATGATTATAGATTGGTTTATCCACAGCAATCCCATCTTTCAAAGCTTTGACCTGTCTAAACATAAGGTCAAAGTCATTAGCCCTTGGGTGGAGGGCAGTGACCCCTTTCTCCTTCCTCCCATTCCTGTCCAGAGAATGGTAGTCATCAAGGCATATCACTGTGGTGGTGTCACTGATGAGCGTGTTCGAGTCGGGGTTTCCTCCTTTCGGAGGCTCCGCCCCGCCACCGAACACGCTCGTGAGACGCCTCATGAAGGTGCTCTTCCCGCACCCGGAATCAGCCGCCAGTCCTATCACCACTGTTCTGCTGCTGTTCTCCGAGGACGATGAGCACGAAGGGCTCATCGGAATCCTCCCGCTCGCCTTTCTGCCGCCACAGCGGGAAGTTCTTTTCCCGCTGCTTCGACTTGTCAAAGGTGAGGATGAGATTATCGAACTCGTTGTTGAGTGGTGGAGGGATTGGATTGTGTACACTGTGCAAGCTGCCATTTTTATCCTTTCTTCTTGATTGGAATGTGTTTAGAAAGAAAAAAGACTTTCCTGAGGGTTATTGCATGATCTTCAATTCCTTATTTTTCCCTGAAGAAGTGAAATGGAAGATTGATACGAGAAAATTGTTGTAAATATGAGGTGATCGCAACAACAACAAAATAGTGCTGCTTTTTTAAAAATAAAAAATAAACTGAGGATTGATAAGAAGGATGTGAGTTTATATGAAGAAAAATATATGGTGGTGATTGTTGCAGTTTTGGATATTCGAGTTGCCACATGGCAGCAGGATGGTGGCTTTTTTAAGATGAGGGAGGAGGGGATATGGTCCTCGATCTATCAATGTTTTTTACACTCAAAATGATCTTACAATTCCAAACTCAAAACGACCTTATAACAGCAAAATATAATCTAGTTTTGTGCAAGACTTTTCTCTTCTCGTATACTTTATATCCATCACTTTATGAAAAAAAAATCAGATGTTAAGTTCTTAGTTAATTGCAATATTTAATTTTACATTAGTCAACACACGGTTTTTATCATCAATATGCTATATATGTATTTAATTTAAATGATTGTTACTAAATATTTAAAAAAACACAGTAAAATTTTACTTTGAGGCACACTTTATAACATTTTTTATAATACAAAATAATTTAATATATAACGTAATCAAAGAAGAGTGTGTAAGAGGAGGTCGGATGTACGCAGTCTTACTTCTATACTAAAGCACAAAGAAACTGTTTATAGATCACCCATAGTGGAAATCGCGTCGAAAATTGCATGACTTGACCGCTGTTTCATAACAAAGAAGCGCGGACAGTTCAGTGAGTCATTTTGCTTTACTCCATCGTACTCTCAAACCAAAAATAGCGAGTTTCTAACTCTATTGAAAATGATGAAAATAAAGAAAGAAGGATGATTATTCAAAATAAATTGTTACGTTGTAATTGAGAAGACCGGAAGTGATATTATAAAGAATTGTTTGGATTTGTTTCTATTTTTGAGGATTGATTTATTTTAGACGTTATATGGAACTACTCAATGGTAAAAGTTGTTAATGTTTGTGAATAAAAGTTAAGGTGAAATCAATACTTTATTGTGTAAAGGAAAATGTGAAATATCAGTTTTACGTGTACTGGCCTGCTCAATGTCTTCGTTTAATATTGCTCGTACAATATGTAATTACACGTGTTAAAATATAAACAAAGTGCATAAATAGGATATCTATACTTTATTTCTAGAACCGAAGTTATTTGATTCTATCAAAAGCACGTAAATTCTCCAAGTAAAATTGAATATAATGAGTCCTGTTTTATAAAAAAAATGATAATTCTATTTATACACTTTATTTGTCTTATGATCTGATTTAAAAAATTCTCTCATAATAATAGTACTAATAGTACAAATACTAATTACAATAATAATACATGATTATGATAACCTTTTAGATATACTTTCATCTAAATATTCTACGGTGACCTAAATGTTTATGAACTGATTAAATCTGATATGATTTGAATGACGCTCAATTTTTCTAATTTTGATTAAATTATAAATAAACGATAAACATTAGGATTAAAGCGAAGTGAACCATATCTGTCTTGTTGATATTACAATTTTACCACTACTCTATTCATGCAGAATTGCAGAAATAAGCAGTGTTAGACATCTGATTTAATCGTAGCAAAATAGCTCTTAAAAGTTATGGTATCCCGTGTTTAAGTGTGATCAAGCATCCAAAGGAGGCAAGTAATACGAGATGATCAAATTCAATGCCATAAATTGTACTTATATACTACGTACATAACTCGTGTTTGGTAAATGCAATTAAATAATTCGGTATCATATTTTTATGCTTTTATTCATGTGCTAAGTAAGCCTAATTTTTGCTGTCTGTGATCTAATTTAGACTTACAATTGTTTAGTCTTATCATTCACTTCAACTTACTTTTCATACTGTCTATGTATACGTTACTCTTTAGATAATGACTAATTTAGATAAAACATTATAACGTGTATACAGAGGCTTACTGTCTTTGAATCGATGCTTGTGAAATATATCCCCAAACCATAACAAAACATTCATAATGCTTTACCACTAATGAACATACAAAATTACAAATCATATAACAGTGCAACTGCAAACTCCAGCATCTGAAATCACCGTGTCGGTCAGTCGGTGATTCACATGAAAGTTTTAATGTCACCGGTGCCCTCGGAAATGCATATAGATTTTCTGCAAAACGCAGCACAGATAGGATTATGTAACATATCAAAGGAATTACTTCACAAATTGACCGAATGGACCTGTTTTTATTGTTACACAACTGGCTTCGTGTACAGGACAGATATATTTATTTAATATTCAGATTATTTAAGAATTTGTGTGTATTTTCGAAGTAGGATATGGTTCCGGTGAGAATGATTCTGTGAAAAACAAGAATGGCACAAAATGATTTGCATTTTCTAATTCATGGGAGTGCATATTTCAATATGCGAGTCATTCACATTTCTCTCATTAGATCGTGTTCTTATTTGATCCAATATTTTACATAAGCACATGCACATATGTAGTTATGTGTTTAGATAAATCTACATCATGTTTCTTATTACCCAATGTTCAAATAAAGGAGTATAAAGGATTGATATATTTTCTCCAACACTTTCACTTTATATTATTCGCAAATTCTACTTTAATTCGATTTTATTTTTTAATGTAAAACAATTTTATATTACTAAAATGTTATAAATTTGTCTGTAAATAAAATTTCAAAATATGATTATTTTCTAATTTTTACTAATATCCAGTTAAATATATAAAAGGTCAAAGTTGTGTGTTAGCAAGTGTGAAATAAGAACGGAGGTAGTACACATTTATGACGCATATTAGTCAACCAATGGGCAATGCTATGTAATATGACAACCAAAGCAAGCCAGATCATTGTCAAAAAACTCAAAATATATACTTCCTCCATTGTCACTAACCTGTAGCACTGTCAAGCTTAGCAAAGACTCCAAGCAGAATAAGCCAAACCCAATCAAATAAAAGATCTGTAAGTAAACAAAAATGGTCATTTGAGATTTCTGCTGACGCAAAAATAATAATATTTTGTGGTCATTTAAGATATGTACAAGCTATTAACTTACCCCAACCAAAACATGGTCAGAGAATACATCAATTGCAGCAAGAATGCCCCTGCGATAGGTATAGATAACACAAACTTTAGATCGGCATGGACAAGAGTTGATTTTGCAACAGTATCTTGCAGCACTGTGGTGATAATAAGTTTACATAATCTAATCGCCCCTCCAAAGAGGGTCTTGCTTGGTCAGGGCAGCACTTCAGTTTCGGCTATGTACAACTCTTGAACTTCATGAAATCCTACTTAAACTTTTAATTGTTTTTGTTTAACTAAGTTCATCATATTGAATTGTTTGTGACGCTTTTGGCAAAGTAAAAGAAAATTGAGTCAAGTTTTCTGAGATACGAATTTTTAGGAGCATAGAAAGATCTTGGAAACACTTCTCTCAAATGAGCACCATGCATCTCAACTCTCACGTAGAACTCTAAAACTTTATGTTCTTTTCATCCAAAAAATATAACAGACTATGTCCAAACTTACTTTATTTAGTACAAAAGGCAGAGATAAAAGCAAGTCTTACGTTAAGGACTTTCCATGAAAGACAATAGGCGGAGCAATGGCGGCAAATATGCAAAATCCAACATGAACCTGCATATAAATATTATATAACTAAGTTTATCAACACGATGACTCCCAAAATGCATAGCTGCTAGATAACACAATATACCATGTAGACCAAGAAAAACCAGCCAAATTTAAGTGCACTGTCAGTCCTGCAAAGTAAGCAGCAAAAACTCAAATGTTACCATATAAGCAGGCAGAAACCCCTATCAGGGATGTAGGATGGTAAGTGTTAGAGTTGATTGTGATGTTATAGCTTATGAGATACCTCATTGCATTGTAGAGGGGCCTATACCACAAAACATAGGACAAGGGACATCCAAGTAAGGCATATATTACAGCAAGAAAAAAGATTTTGACACCTATGGAAATAGAGCCATGAGAGAATTCATCAGAAGCCAATATTTACATTAAACCCATGCTTTCTGTTACAAGACACCCCTAGGGTAGAAGAGAAAACACCATAAGACATGAGGGCAAAAGAGAACGCACCTCCTCCCTTTATCCAGCACACAGTCACAGCAACAATATTGAACGTAAGGCAGAAAACAATACCTGCATAATTTTTTTTTGTATCATGTATGACATCCATTTGCCTTGGTGAAAAAAGGTATCTATTTCATACTCAAGTCTGTTAAATGGAAACAAAATACACCATCTGAAGAGGCTAATAAAAGAGAACCAAGCCATGTATACTTCAAGCATTCATTGGCAGTTACAACTTGAAGAAAAATTCAAGCACAAAATTAGAAATTTTAAACACACATACTCATTGAAACCAGGGAATTGTAGCTAATGCCCTGGCTTTAAAAAGAATGACCTGCACAATAGCCTTGCATATTTTAGGATGCACAATAAAAAATGTTATATTCAAAAAATCCAACAACGTTTATAACTCACAAGTTCGTTGCAGAAAACCCCCTTTTAATATGACTTTTAAACAAAAATCACAGGCATTTTTTACATTTGCGATGAGGCAATAGTTCAGAATGTTGGTAGTAATCTATGCTTCTACCAGGTTCTCTTAGCGAGGCAGTTGGCTCTTTCAGCCATAAAAGGAGCTTTAGCAGGGCAAATCACAGCCAAAGCAAACGAGATAGCAATGTAACTCTGATTCCTTATGTGCGCGACAATTTGGGGTAGGTGTGCTTTTTTATACTATGTAGCCTTAAAGGTTTTGAGGGTAACTTCCTCTTTTAGGGGGTTGTTTGGGACTGATTCTGCTTTAATTACTTTCGAAAAGAACCAGAATTAGCAATTTCCAGAATTCGGAGAGCAAAACAAGGGATGAAATGTAAAGAATCATAATCGGGTTTTCCATAAGCTAGCAACCCAAGCTTATAAAAAAACGGAATCTGCTTCTAATGGATCTATGTAATACAATCACTTGGGGCATGTCTGGTTTGGGGAATTTGGAGAGGTGGGTAATATTTATTTTTAAAATTATATAGAAAAACACAACGCAACAAAACATACTATTATTGATAGTCTAAAATTAACAATAGACATAAATTACTGGTACAAAAATTGATCCACTTGTCTACCCCTATGAAATC